GAGTTGAAGAGCATTAATATTCACTCATGAATATTCACTATTACAGAATAGGTGAGTATGCAGAGAGCAGGAAATGCAAATTTGCAAAGTATTGACCTATGACCTATATGCATGAATCATACATAGTATACGGTCATAGAAAAAAAACACGATTTTGAGATTTTTATATATTTTTCATATTTTTCTTGAATTTTTGATTGGTTATCATAATAATGTAATGAATATCACGCGTCGTGTTTCAAAGCTATTTGTTCCCGTATTTTTTGGCTTTGAATGCAAACATTATAAAAGCTTCAAAATTAACAAGCACCTTGCAAACAGCAAAAGGTGCCAAGAAATTCGAAGCCATTTAGCAGTAATTTATCCTAATAGGAGAAGCAGCAGATTTATAAGAAGTGTGGGGAGGCAGAGAAAATGTAAGTTCTTAACCAAACACGTTAGCCTGTGCAGTTAACGGCTTTTGTACGACATGCATTGGAGCTCGCATAGAATAAATCACTATTGAGGATCTGTTGAATTTATCGAATTGCGATTTTTTACCTTGATGCTACTTTTAGAAACTATTTGTAATAATCCCTCCATAACGTTATGTTCCTCAATTGTAAATATTCATAAGATTGATTCAAAGACTTTTATTTTAACGACAAACAGTTGATATGTACTTGTTTAAACCAATGATATGAATGAAGCTTTTAGTAGAATAATAATGGCAAAGATCACAAAACTTTGTTACGTAAAAACTTGCATTTCGAGTTCGATCTTTATTCGTTAGAAACTTCGGAAAATGGATTTGATTCCATCGGGGACAAAATACTACGAAAATTATCAATCTGTGTTTCGCTCTGTTATAAGTAACGCAACTTTAATAACAATTTAAAAATAAAGGAATAAAAATAAAAATATAAATGTATAAATAAACCTTGTTATCATCTTTTTGACAAGTCGATTTGACTACAGCCTCCAAAGTAAGATGCCAACCGGGATGTTTCTTCACTAATTGTTCAACAGTCCGAATTTTCACTGGCTTTCCATCACCAGTTATCCAAGGACAATAATATTTGTGTTCAGCTTGTACATCGAATAAACGTTCATCCGGGGTTTTTGGAAGGCCTTCGATGTTAATACTAGCAAAATATTTGTCATCTTTATCAGAAGCAGGCGAAATGTTTATAGAATCAGAAGAATCTTTTATTCCTGTTTGTTCTTGTTGATTCGATGTTTGTTCTTGTTGATTCGATGTTTGTTCTTGTTGATTCGATGTTTGTTCTACACTTTTTAATTTTTCTTCCTGTTGTTCCTGATGTTGATCTTCTTGCATTATTGTATCGTTATCTTGCGTCTGACACTCGGCCGTGGTTTTTAGGGTCTCTTGATGGTCTTTTTGCTTATTTTCGTCGATTGTTTTTTGCTTGGAAATGTTTCGAAAATTAGTTAAAGCACAACGACGACAACATAATTTGCATCGTATTATATCAAAGCTGTTCGAGATGCGTTGATATTCCCATCCAAATAATGATAAACAGCCCGCAGTAGCAGCGATTCTCGAGTCCAGAGGATAATCTAAACGAAGTGCCTCAATTACTGTTTGGGTGAATTCTTCACTCTAATAAATATAGACGGATTAAAACACGTGAACAGGAAAGAATCATAAGAACAAATAATACAAATAATTAATTATTCACCAGATCTGTCTTGATAACAGGAAGATTCTCCCCTAATTTAATCAATTCAGATGCTCGTTGTCGGAACTCTTCAACGGCATGGTCTTGTCGTAGCTGTCTAAACCGATATATCTCATCTATATCTCAAATTCGTGAATCCTTTTGTTTTCTTGTCGTCCCTGGTTCATTAATAATTCCATGAGCTCTACTAACCTGAGCATGGATTTCTACCCCATGAACAGTGCTCTGCATGTGCTGTTGATAATTGTTTATCAAATTTTTCTTCCTCTTTCTGAACTATTTCATATATATGATGCTATTAATCGATTGCGGGTCATGGAAATTAAAGCAAGATATAATCTAATAAAATTTTCACACCATCCTCTTTATTAATTATACAAGGAAAACTAACTTCAAGCTCAGCGGCACAGGTGACGCATTTGAGTTTATCAATATCTACGTTCTCCCAGCCAAATCTCGATACCTCGGTTGGTCTTAAGCTATCCGGCTTTGCAAACCAAGTTATGTCGTGTTTTTATGTAAAAGTTAAGGGTGTATTTTTACAATTGAAAACAATCTGAATCTAAAATTCAACAATAAAGGATATATCGAAAGTAGAAAGACGTTTCATGTAACTCTTGAAATCCGTTGGGTCATATGTGACTTCAACTTTATTTTGTTCCTCCGTAATATTTTTGTATTGTGCCTGCGTGACACGCATGAATTTTCGTCTAGCATTTTTCAATACATGAATTTTGCTCTTGCATGGAATTTATTAAGGATAAGAAAGCATATTTATTAAATACTTTGGTTCTTCATCAATAACTTCCGCTCCTGGTTCAGTAAGTTCTCTGAATAACGAGAATACTTCCTCAATTTTTCTCTTTGAACTTTGTTCTGGTGTATTTGTGGCAGAAATATCTTGAATTTCTTCCATGATAGCGTGATATTTGAGTAAAGGAAAATTTTATTTTTATTGCCTTCCCAATCAGAGTAGGTGTAACATAGAAAATCGGAAATTCACCACTACGTGTCTAAATTCTTGTAATACTACTAACTACACACACACATATATACATGTTAAATGTTAACAATAAAGGAAGGTTCATTCGCAGTTATGACGACCAAGAACTACTACTTCTAACAATACCATCACCTCGATCAGCATTGCCTTGATCAGAAGGATCATCTTTCCTCTCAGGTCTTGCTCGACGAAAACTACTCTTGAAATCAGGCTTAAATTCACCTTCGAAACCTTCCTTCTTTGATTCCTCGAAATAACGATCCTCTTCTGAAGCATGGGAAAGACCCCGTGTATTTAATGAGTGATCATCACCTTATTTTACTTGAAATCAATAAATGAATAAA